GTTACAAAATCGCTGCTTGTGCTACTTTGTAAAGCGCTGATTTAAAGTTTGTTATTTAATTAATTAATTTTGGTCCACCAACTGAAAGTTATTTAAAGAGAACATATATAGTATAATCATACAAGTAAATTACCGAATATATCATAAAATTAAGTAAAGAAGCTACTTTCTCGAGGCAAGTGAAATATATCGAAAATACACATCTAGATGTGTATAAGTAAATTACCGAATATATCATAAAATTAAGTAAAGAAGCTACTTTCTCGAGGCAAGTGAAATATATCGAAACTTTATTACAATAAACTGAGTACGCATTAGTTTGGACTGTAGCTAATTTAGTAATGAAATGTATAATAATTCAAAAATTGTGTCCTATTTATTTGAAATTTTATTTATTTTCAATTAAACAGGAACGAAAAAGACTCCAGTTTTAGGTTTTCCTATATATTCAAATTTATGTATTCCAAAGAAAAAGTGAGCTGTAAGGAGATACCATTTAGGATCCATGATGGCTCAGTAGTGAGTGGCAAAAGGATACTCTCTTACATAATTGCATGGTTATTTGGTTTCTTTTAATCCCAGTTTCGTGTGGAAAAAATCATTGAGAGATAMGGAAATATTTCGAATTTTTAGATAACACCAACGGTATGGGAGAGGTGCGGCCATTCACCTACATGTATTTTTCTATAAACATACTTGTTGGTAAAAGAAGTGTGGAGTGTGTGGAGTGTATTGCATATTCTAACGGTAGTTAATTACCGCGATAGAAAGTTCTGGCGACACCCATCGATTGGAAGTTTGCATGAATTCCCATATCTTTCAACGAGTTTGCCGACGACCCCATTGGCGAAATATACAAGCGAGTAGCAGTGGGTCTGGTGAGTTACCTCAGAACTACAGGGTTATGAAAACGTTTCGTGGCAAATAATAAACGGCAAAACAATGTATAAAGTATTTAATGGAATTTGCGCATGCGCGCGTGTGTACATGCATAATTTGCTAGTTCTGCATAAAAAACAACGGCGCGGATCATGTGGACATGCTGCATTATGTGCGCTTCGARTGCAATGGAATGTGGCCTGACTGGGTTTCTTTATGGCCCACCGCTCGATTTGCCATTTGAATGAGWGAGAATAAACGTGCTGGTGATGTGAGYGAGGTTGCTTGGGAGTTCTTGTGCACAAATACGCAGAAAGTGTTGCAAGCTGCTACACGCCCACGAAGCTCGGTATAATCGTTTCGAAATGACAAATGCGCTAGGGCGAAGTATATATGTAGCATTGTTGTTTGTTTTAATGTCGGGCCTGCACTTTATGTGTTGACACTCATCAGAGCTGGGCTATAAAGTGAACGCCCGCGTGGGACGCACATGTTGGGTAGATTGCGCAATTATGGAGATATTACGACATGTGATKTAGCCGGATGAAGTATAGTGCATTTGCTGCTCGGAAGCCTTATTGTTGGTATTGTTGGGCCCAAGCCCTCTTTAGAATGCTATCGAATGTGCTATCGCCTATGAGTGTTGRTAAGTCAGAGACGAGTATAGGCAATACTGATTGATCGCACCGACCAGATCCGACAGATCAATTTGTAATCATAAGAAAGAAAAGTACCTACCCTTTCTGCCGACTCCGCATCCGAAATTTTAGTCTTTCAACAAAAGCTGCTCCAGCCGCTCGTGATTGCAATACCATTCGAGAGGAAAAASCAAGGAGAGTAACGCGACTTGAAGCGGTCATCCCCATATTTACATGGTTTGCGTGAATTTTGGCTCCATATGAAAATCCTTTGCCATTGCCCCGCATTATCGTGTTTCCTTAATTTGACTTCAATAACAACACAATCGACAGCGGCTCAGCATCTGCGTCTGTGCGAAATGGTATGGTGAAAAACACGCACCTTCAAACGCGCCGATTTGTACTTTCACTTTCACATGCGCGCGTATATAATAAATCTATTGGGTGTAAATATGTGCACAATGACAAAATAGCGCGTCGCACAGGTGTTCGTGATTGTGTGCATAGCGGAAGACACGAACATACGTTGGGCGGGGAGGGCGACGCGCGACGAGCTCTTGTACGTACTCTGCAATAAAATCAAAGCGCGCTTATTACGTGCGCACTTATGCCTCAGTGACAGCATCTATTATGAAATCCGCGCATTACGCACAACAGTCAGCGATAAACGGGATGCAACCACCATACCGGTGAAGAAATAACCACATAGACGGTTTAAGAAAATGCCATAATAATGCAGTAGCTACTCAAAATGTACACGACGCACAGTGGCGAGAGGTGCGGCACATTAATATTGCATGCGTAATTGCGGAGACAAGGAAAACAAGATTTATGGTTGCCCATAGCCTTATACACAAGCTGCTGCCACTAAACGCTGCCCGCTGCCCTCCATCCGCGACCCACGCGTACTTCTCAGCCTCAGGTGCATGTGAAACCACTAAATCAAATGCGGTCTCCTTGACAACTTGACTGCTCAGCTGAAATTGACAGAGTGTTTGATTTGCTTTTGATTGGCAAGCCGATGCGTTTGGAGAGCCAAAGAAGTGACAGTACATCCCATAGTGCGTGCCGCAGTCAAGGTGGAAAGATAAAGGCTCTGCAGCTCAACGGGAAAGAGCATTCAGATARGCAGTCGATAATAATGTCTTGTTGGCCGCGCCTCATGCGCAAATGTGTTTCTTACATACCTGCGACTAAGCATAACACGGATGGGCTTAATTAAATCGACTCCAATGCACATTTCTTTTACTCTCCAACAGAGATGGAACAATATCCAGCTCATTAGCTATGAAATTCACAAAGCGGCTGCATTTGCGTTATCTTCAGTGCATACGTTTGATCAGACGCATGTTACTGCATGCTCTATCTTTAGGGCGTGTTTCTCCACGTTGGTTCGTTTTACTACTTGAATTAATCATTGGCACGTTATTGTATCTAATATGCTTAGCCTTTGGTGGCTGCTTACAATTCTGAGACAAATCCAAAGGCATAAAAATAACAAATAACGGCATCATGTACTATTATGACGGGTAATAAGCATGAAAGGTCACATTCAAGACTCAAATTTGCGGCTTCTACATCTCTTGTCCGCACGCACACAAATGTACCTATGCCCGCGCGCCTCTTTCTATGCTGTCGCTTGTTGTATTTTCTTAGTTTTATCGACATATGCATATGCAAGTCTCGTTAATGTCCACGGTGGTTGCCAAGTGTGGCACGATTAAGTGGTAACGCGCGCAGCTCTGCTGCCGATGATAATTGTGTGGCCTGGTCGGTCGGACCGTGGTCGGGTGCGCTCTGCAGCGGTCACCTGTGAACGTCGCCGATGCAAGAAGCATTTGTATTTGTGCACATGTGTGTGTGTATTTATAATTGATGCCGCAGTCAGTCGTTAGTGGCAAGTGATGMTACGCAGGTTAAGAAGTCGCAATGAAATTAAGTTGGAAGTAAATGGAAAATTTAATTGCTGATTGTTTGAATTTCTTTTTATTTAATTCGCAAAGTTCACGCGTGTTTAAAACTTCGCTTCYTCACCTATGTACATACAAAGAGTAGAGAAAAATATGCAAACACCTCTCTGATGGGTRGGTTAAAAAATAAAGTATGGTTTGTAATGCTCGTATGTGTGTTATGAAAACTGTGTATAAATGAACACCTGAATAGTTGTTCATGGCATTTGCTAATCTTTGCCTGGAAAGTTTATGAAGGTAAGAAGGCGCTGCTGGGATTTTTACACATTTTTAAATGTTTCCTCTCCGGTGTTTTTATTGAGTACCGTTTGACATTGGTTTAATAATAGTTTTAATTAACATTTTTTTATACGTTTTCCATTTTACAAACTTGTATTTAGCAAGTTGTTTTGAACGGTAACCTTTTGTAATCACGTCTCTGGTAGGGATCACTTCTATTACAATATAGAATATTAAACAATTGGTTTTTAATGAAAGTTTGCCGAAAGACTTGTACCGTAGAAGTAAGACTCATTTTAATTACTTCACTAAAAACATATCTAAACTAATTCGACCATGTTTTTACGTTGTTTGTTAATAAGTATATAAATCGCGTTGCTAGATAGAAAGCATAATTCGCTCAGTAGGAAGCGATGGCTATGGTGAATTAATTTTGGTTTTTCCTCGGTTGAAAATACTATTTTTTACCTTCTTTTATTAAATACGAACTTTAAAGTCAATGCATATTTAAAACTCACTTTTGCCTGTCCCACAATCCACAAAGAAAGAAGATAATAAAAGAAGAACAAACCTATAAGACAGTTTCCCACATACATACTTACATATATCACCACCATAGCTATTTTTTCCACCTYTAGAAGCAATCAACTTCCTAACCCCTGAATACACACTTGCACACACACATGAATAACAAATAAATGAATTCTGATTCCTCCCGCGCCCCATTTAATTAAAATAATACAAACTCAATTAACCCGCATATCTGAGAGTGGCCGCTTCGGCGGTTGCTGGTAGAAGCTGTGCAGTCTGCTTGTGTGTGGCTCATTGCWGTCACATTTTCGTACCTCGGCTCTCCGCCGAATCGGGTCAATTGGAATTCTCGCTTGAATGGATTTAAGAACGGTTGGCGATGGRTTGGCGAACTCTGTGGCTGATATTTGGCGTTTCGGCTTAGCGATGCAGTGGTGTGTGCTCGTATGACGTCGTGTGACCTCTCAAATTTATGCGCTCGACTGCAGTGTGAAATAATGACCAAGTTGGGTTTGGCTGCAGCTACGATGTCTGATGAAGTATGTTGTTGTTGCATATTAATTGACTGTTTTTAYGTTGTAGCAAATAAATTGTGTTAATAAMTATCGACTTGAGTAMCTCAATTTGAAATATTTCAGCTATTTTTAAAGCAAAYCTCTAATACATACTTACACACATGCCAGATCGTAGATTTGCTGTTACGTAAATTTATATTACATTCCTTGTTTGCTGATTCGTGTTTTTTTTACCTTTTCCGTTGCAGACTTACAACTTGCCGCGGAGCTAGGCAAGACGCTGCTGGAGCGCAATAAAGAGCTCGAGTCGTTGGTCAAAGAGCTGAAGGGTACYATCGATGAGCAGCAACAGGAAATTGTGGTAAGTTGATGTGTAAATAGTAATTGTGGCAAACAGTTACCGCGGCACGTAAGTATCTACTCAAGATTCATTGTCAATATGTCGTATGGTGGGGCACGTCGGCTATTGCAACGCCAGTCTGCAGCCCACAGGCCTTTAGCAATCAAATCATTGACCACCAACTGGGCGCTGCCTGTCCGGTACACCGTTGGCGCTGAAATGCGTGTCTCGGTCGCAAGCTGACAGTCGTTTAAAACAGGAACGGGCAGGAGTATGCAGGCGTTCTCATATTGTTTTTRTTGTTATTAGAGCATGCTAAAGACAAGACGCATGAATACTACTGGATAGTCGTATGCATACTAACACGCTTACCAAATGCACATATTAATACACATTGATGTGGAGGTATGTCGTTATATGCCTTCATACGAGCTTGTAGGAAAGGAGCTGTAATCCTTAATGTTGTTGGCATATTATTGTTGCTGTGGTTGCAAATTCTATGCATGCCAACCAGTCATTCGCCAACCGCCAGCCGCCAGCCACCAGTCAGCAGTTGTAAATTGCACTTGKCCAACCACATTCCAGCACCGGAGGACATGACTAGCAGTTTCCTATCTGTTTCGGCGTTCGTTGTTTTAAATTATTTTTAAATGGGGCCAATTATGGAGTACAAATAGGCGAATGTTCAAACACGTGCACACTGTACATGCAAAAACTCTCGTGTGTTTGGACAGTTTCTTTTTCAGATAATTTTCACAATTTTCTGATGACTAAAGATTTAGTTTGAATTCGTTCCTCCCTGTTCTCCCTGTTCTCCTTGAAAGGGCATCATAGAGAGTTTCGATCTAATCGGAATTTTGCGAATTATTTCATTTAAAAGTCAGAATTCTTTATTAAATTGTTGTTGTCAAGATTGGTGAAGGTCTCTTCTATTGTWCAGTTGTAATGAATAAATTTAAAGATTTATTCACAAGAGCTATYCACATTGAGTGTAAATAATTTTGCGCAAATTGATTTTTGAAATCGATTACAACCTTTCTTGTTTCGATTAAGTTGTATTTAGGTCGGAAACCGTTTGAGTTGAATGCATAACGGTACCGCACGCTTGCATGGGAAATAAAAGTGCCAGGCATCATAGTGCAACGCCGTGGCGACTCAAAGCATTAAACGCRTTCATATAAACAGTTATGTTCCAATTTGGGCATATGTGTGTATGTGTGAGTAAGCTTGTCCATTTACGAGAATATGTGCTGTGCCGCTCTGAATGCGCCGCGTGAGAGGGTTGCGCTTCATTAAGTTGCCACGACACAAATCCTGAGGCGCCACCGACTTAAACATTACAAGAAAAAGACGTTGCAGCTGCGCCAATAACGACAATAGCTGCAACTCAATCAGGCGTGACTGTTGGCCGCATTTTGCCGCCGGTTTGCGTGCCACAGATGCTGGAGGTGCTGCAGGCGCTGCTGCCATCTGAAACATTTTCGATTACATGAAATTTCACCTGAAATTAAAATATTCAATTTTGTGTTTTGGTTGTTTCCAAACACAGACTCACTGTTCGAATCGTTGTGTGTGTGTGTATGTCGCGGCTGTGTTTCGTGTTCAAGTGGAAAGTAGTGTCTTAACTTGCAAATTCGCCAAACAAAACTCCTTWGTGGTTGTTGCTCAAATTATTTTGCTTGCGACTCTACTTGTAATTGTAGTTGTTGCTACCGTTGTTTGCAGCTGAGACATGTGTAAAGCCTCTTGTTTGTTTTCATTGTTTGAATTGCCCAAGCAAAGTGAATCGAATGCCAAAAGCACAATTAGGAGAAGTAAAGTAAAGCGCGACTGACCCATTTAACGCACGAACGCCTGTGGATGACGCGAGCGAGGTATGCCACAACTGCCGGCTGCAGGCCACGCCATTAGCGCGTGAATGCGCCTTGATGTCTCTGCTGCGCCAGCAGAGGGCGACTTCCGCACTCTCAAGCCAAACTGCGCAGTGTCGAGATGCTAAAATAGCATATCTCATTCCGCTCTTAAAAGCAAAAGTAAAAAAAAATAATAAGAACAAACTTTTAATTGTCTCTGTTTTTAATCATTCGTATAGTACTTGAAGAAACACACGACCGCATTGCGCGAGGTCAATGACACGCGTTTGAAAGTGTATGAGCAATTAGATATTGGCATACAGGATCTGGAACGCGCAAACCAGCGTTTGACCGCTGAAAATACCAGCGACAAGAAGCATATTAAAACGTGAGTTGGATGCTCTTGATTAGGCATAATGACAACGATCTAAGTTAGTCTGTGCTTGCCATTTTAATTGTCCATTACAGACTTGTACAAAATATTGAGGCACTTGAGGCGCGGCAAGATGAGCTCAATAAGCAATTGGAGGAGCTCCGTCAAGCGCTCTCAATGGAGCGGCGAAAGAACGAACGTCTCAGCAGTGCCAACGAGAGACGCAATGCCGCCGGTGTGGCCAATGACTCCCATAGGAACAATGGAGTGCTGGATGGTAGTGCGGTCGAAGAGCCTACTTCAACCAGCAATAGCAACGAGAGCAGCAGTGAAATGGTAAGTTCTCCGTCCTAACTGTACCGTTGGTTTGAATATATGATTGATTTTTCCTTTGTTTTCCAACAGTGCTTCGAAGCCAACACTACGGCGCCTGAGAACTGTAGTTTTGCGTTCCGGTCGACGGCGCCCGCGGACAGCAAGGCTAATTCAACCAGTATCGGCGCCCACCAGAGTCATGACAATTCAATGGCGTTGAGTGACTTGGTGTGCAGCGCAGATGACGGTGAAGAAATCATAAAGCTTGTCAATGACTTAGAGATGACGAAAAAGGCGTTTTTGGCCGAGCAGCAACGTTGCACAGAGTTGGAAGAGCAACTAGTGGCCATAAGTGAGTAGATGGCTTAATTGTTCATTTTTATAATCCAATGCTCATTCCATGCAGTTCAAGAGAATCAAATGTTGCAAAGCCGATTGGCGAACAATAGTCCCAACGAGGAGATGCGGTCAATGCAAGAAGAGCTTTCCGTACTGGATGAAGTGCGGTGAGTGGACATGATCTGGCCAGATGAATGCAAAACTATTTAAAAATTGGAAATTGTACTGTTGTTTGTATTGCAGGCAAGGGAAGATGTGCAGTCGCTGCATGCGCGTTGTTGAGGAGCGGGGCACCATTGGTGACGAGCAGTCGTCACTAGCCCCCACTGAGGAGTACCACGAGGATGAGGAACGAAGTTTGCTCGATAACGGTAGCGAATGCTCACAGGCCGCCTATCGTCCCGGTGTATCGATTAAGGTGAGAAATTGTTTCTATTTCAAGACACTGCTCATTGGCATAATGCGAGGCTTATGACATTTGCATTGATGCATTTGATGGTGAGGCTGGCTGCGCAAGCGCGCGCACTGCAATATTCTGGTGGGGAAGCMATTATATTTATTCTTGTAGCTGAAACACCTACGAGAAAAGGAAAACATAATTACTTTCACTAAACTCAAACACAAACTCTTTCCAATATCCTAGAACCACAAATTTCCCCACTCTCAGCCAAGCACTCACCCCAAGTGCCGTTTCACACCAAAATTGTTATCGCCAATATCATCGTTAATGGTTGTGTATTTATCGATACTTAAGAAATCATTCAAATTCGCTAAATTAAATGAATACGAATCATTTTGCATTTATCATATTTACATCAAGTTGCGTTTACATATTTACGTTTTTCATAACTTTATTATTTTAGTACAAAATTTTCTTGCCACCTTAATATAATACGACAAGCAATCTACTTTTTTATGATTATTATTAAGAATTGTGCTACACACCACACTTAGACGCTACTAATGGTATTACTATATTAACCTTTGAATATATTTACAAATATACATGTATGTTTATTTAGTTTGTAGTTATACATTGGCTATCATAACTAGAAGCATCTTTCATTTTTATGTGAATAAAATTATATTCGATTTCAAAAACTCATACCTTTCTATTCATTGTCTGTCACAATCCATCCATTCACACTCACATATCACCGCCAGGAGCGTCGCACGAGCTCTGATGCCACGTTCACACTGCTTGCACAGTAAGGAATTGGTGTTTAAAATATTGGGTTTCCTTTCATTATTCATTTTCGAAGGTAAAAGGTAGGACGTTCTTATTCGTCCGTAAGAGTTACACTGATTTTCGAAATTCGGCAATTTTTTGAAGATTTTCGATATACGAAGGTTAAAGGACAAACCTGGAAAAAATTGAATGAGCCAATATTTYGAAATATATTTGCATATTTCCTAAAGCTGGGTGAATGTGGCATTACGTTGCCTTTCGTTCGAAGGATCATACGTTTCGGCTCTTTTATGCTATGCATTTCTGTGTGTATAACAACAACATGTATTGTGTGTGTTTTTGTGTTTACTTGTCTAACATTTACTTACTTTGTTTGTGCTAATCTGCTAATGAGTTAAAGAGTTTGTACAAACTAATGTTTGCGCAAGCTTGTAGCAGTGTCTCCAACTGCAATTGTCATCCGTCTAAGCGCTTTCCTATAAGTTTACTTATTCTAACCTTTGTATGTATTTTCACCAACACCTTTGCATCACGACAAAACCAATTTTACTGTCTTTATAATTTCTACATGTGTGTTTTTCGGCTGTTTTTTTTTGTTGTTTTTTCACAAATATTTTGTTTCTGTTTTTCTTTAATTTCTAATTCAAGGCTGACAAAACGACGATTTGTCCGATTTGCAGCTCAAATGCCAACACAAAGTACCTGCAAGAACGTTTGCCACTCTCGTTAGACTCAATGCTTCTGAAGCATTGGCAGAAGACCATGAGAAAATTCAATGTTTTATGTTGGATTGTGAAATTTCTGCAATGGCCCGCCTTGTTCATTTGCCGTCTGATTAGTTCCATCCCAGATGATGAAGACTTCGCATTGACCTTTTGAAATGCGAGGCATATAACGCTGTCACGAAGCTACATACATACTTATACATATTATATGTATGTACATATGATTACATACCACATGACTTGACTACCACCTGTCTACCTGCTATTACATACAAACTTACTTGCATAGATATGCGACGAGAGCATATTCGATAAATTTCCTATACATACATACATATCCTTTGAATATGTACATAGCTAATAGATGTATATATGTATTTTGCATACATATATATCTAACTTAAATTATCTGTAATTAATACCTAATTAAGTAAATACCATATAATGTTAGATAGATAGATGGAGCAGTGAACCGTTAGACGGTCGTTAGCCTAAGTGATCATTGTTAATATTCGCCATTTTTCTTGTTATTAATTTTTGTGTTAATCAATTTTTTTTAATATTTTACTATAATTGAGAAATGCAATTGTAAAAGTACTCACACAATTTACCTATATTCCCTTCAAGGGGATACGCGGCAAAGCAAAAGTTATGTAGTGTCCATATTTAATTTCACTAGTGCCAACCATTGTTTTAAGTTCAGTGTCCAGCCTAGTTTTAGTTGTAAATGGCGTTTTTTTCGTTTAACTCGAGATCGGTCCAGTGCCTACACACAAACTTACTAGTATTTATAAGAACAGTAAAACTAATTTATGTACTTATTTATGTTGCTATTAAGATAGAGAAAGAGAGAACGCAAGACCAGGACCGCCCTCCCCCCCTCTCCCCCCCTAAGCTCTGAATGTTCACTAACACTATTATATCTACGAAAATCACCATTACTCACAATTATGTATTTACTAATACCGCCTGCTCATGACTGAGGAGCCACCTTTATTTTGCTTTATTCGATACATGACTAACTAGTTTCCAAAACTTTAAGCGTCTTATATTCAATAAAAAGCGCGAGTCCCGACACGAATAATTTTAAAATAATTAACTTGATCCGATCSCACCATAATCCTTCAAGGGTAAAAATTAACGAAACTTTCTCTAGATACAATATACTATACGCAAACATGGCTAAATGAATGTTTTAAACGCTAACTCCCCGAATAAAGATCTAAAGAGAGTAGTACCCAACTTCACMCAAAAGTATTTATAACTTTTCTAACCTCAATTCTCAACTGATTTCCCCTCTCCAACGTGCACCTGCCACTCAGTATCGGTCTTGTGTTCAAAAGTTKTTTTTTTATAAAATGCAAATATAATGTTATTGATTAATGTGAATTTAATGCTAATATAATCCAATGGAACGGTTTTGTGATAATTTAATAATTAAAAATATATGATGACAAATATAATATCTGCATTGTTTAATTATTTGGTATATGAACGCATGAGTATTGGGTGAAAACCGTTAGGAATTTCAGAAAGCAAAAGCAACTGGACAAATCGTGTACGTCCCCATAYTCCTAACTAGTTTTGTCTTACTATATTTTTATGCGTTTATATTTGGCCTTAGTTTTGCATGATTTCTGTGTGATTTGGTTTCTTCTTCTCTATTATATTTCGTTTTTGGCATTGTTGTACTTGCTTTGTTAAAACTGTACTTTACTTCCTTTTTTCCCCACACATATACTTACATAACTCTTCCCAAGAACGCTATTCGCTTTCTTCAATTTTTGAATACAATGTCAACCATCATCATCATCTTTCCAAACCAAATAATGACTAAATAATAACATAAACGACCTATGCCTTTGTCAAATAAACATGTAGTGCCATGTTCACCTATTAACTATAACACAACCCAATTGTCCATCATCGTTTTCCAGGTCTCTCAACGCATTGCTGACTCATTGGATCTGAGTATCCCCAGCAGCCCAAATCCGTACCGAGAATTGGTAGAGAAATACGAAGCTTTGCTTGAGGTTCAATGTTCGGCTATCGTGCGTAAGAATACTACCATGGGCGGCGCTGTCGGCAGTGGCAGTGGCAGTGGGGGTGATGGAATGTCACTCGCCGACGAGTTCCAATCGTCGGGTGAATTTAGTCAGTCACAAAAGTCGCACACGTTATCCTCCGTTGCCGATGAGACCACAGCCGATGAGAGCTGTGGTGCTGGTTCGGCAGTTGGCAGKTCCTCTGCAGCCGAGGTGCAGAATGGTGGTGATTCAAGTTTACCTTCATCCAATGATGCCAACACCACTAAAGTAGTGAACAGTACGAAGGATATGCGAGGCCGTACGCCTACTGAATACTCAGAGGCGGAAACTTCTTCTTCTGGTTATGCCGATGAAACTAGTAATAAGTCGACGCAGACAGAAAACCGACCTGGTTCTTTTCTTTGCACTATCGGTGATGGCGAGGTGTGCAAGTTTAGTATTTATGATGATGCCAGTCCAATTGAATCGCATTTCCGTAATCGTCCCGAATACAAGGAACTATTCAAAGAGATTTTCGCTGTACTGAAGAAAGCGGCTACTAATAAGGAGGAGGGAGAGAGATTGCCTTTGCTCGACGACACCGAGCCAGCCGCAACTAGTACGTGTACCGCCGCCAAGGTGCCGCCAGTGACACCTGCCAATGAGGAGCTGCCAATAGGTTTTGAAGATGACGCACAAAGCATTATTTCATCAGCGGTGTCCGAACAWTCGTTTGCCATGTCCGAGTGTATAACCAAGTTGGAACGCAAGACCGCGAAGAAGCACATCATCGAGAAGAATCAAGAAAATCAACCCCCATCGCTGCTGGGCACTTCTATAACAACATTAGTTGTTGGCGGTAAATCGCCAATAGTTGAAAATGGTCGTGTTCTGACACCATTGAAACGGGAACCGCTTGAATATCTGTCAGTGGGGGTAGGCATAAAGAAGAAAAATCGTCGTAAGAACCGCAACTTTAGCGGCGATCGCTCCGAGTCTCCAGCCACGCTGCCGTCACCACCACGCTTTTTCATTGCGAGCGGTAAGAAACGACGTGATGTTCGTCCATATGTCCAATCACCATTGGCGAACACCTCTTCCGATCAACCACGCTCCTCACGCAGCTCTGGCGGCGCACACTATGAATGGAGTGGCAACTCGATGGTCATTTACAATCGCAGTTTGAATTCACCTGGCACACAGTCGTCATTACGAGGACGAGAAATGGATTTGAGCAATCTTGAGTACCGACCTAGCTTCCTCTCCAGGGAGCTAAACCAGCTGAAGAATTTGGAGATGTCGTACGCCGAGGTTCTGCGCAGCGCCGATAGCTGCAAGCACAGCCACTGCCAATCGGCCTCACATCATCACCATCATCATCATTCACAGCAACAACAGCAGCAACATCACTCACAGCAAAAACAACAMAAACAACAAAAACTGCAGCGAAATCGCAAAAACTAAGCAAGTAGAGACAAATGATGAGCAAGCAGGTCTTTTTCGCCAACGAAAAGTCCTTTCCCCATTGTCAAGTCTGCATTTGATTTCCGCTCAATATCCATAATTGGATCTATGTAATCTAAAAAATATAAAACTAAGAACATAAGAACAAATACATACATACATACAAACATGTATAAGCGTACTAGCCCTAATTAGTATTTGAATAGTTTGAAGAAGTAAACTTTTTGCCCCCACCCAACTAGTTAGGAAAAGCGAAGAGAAGCACAGCAGTAGTATTGAAACTGAAACAAAAACAATAAACATAATCACATATACATATGTATAACAAACCATAATATTCCTACGGCTAATTCAATGTAAACTCATAAAAAAGACATTACAATACAAACACGCACTCTAATGAGAAGCAACTGCTAAATTGGAGTCCTGAACAATATATACACATACACACATAAGCCACAACTGTAATAATGATTCCCATTCAGTGTGTTTTCCTTGGAATATCACAAATGTCAAAAGTTCAGTCCGGGAGCAATTTGTTCCATTGTAACTAGGTGTTTGGACATGACCAAGCAGACAGGCAAGCTATGAGAGAGGACAGTTGCAGATTGCGGTGGGCGTGGTTTACGATTCCTACGCACAAGCCGCCATTTTCTATTTTTAATTAATTTAGTACCCTTTTGTAAATAGTACGCTTCAAAATTTAAACTTATTTTAAATGCTGTAAAMAGCAAATAATTTTTACCGGACAAAAATAATTGCGACCAGAAAATATTCAGCTCTATTTTGTTTACTACACATGTGAGATGCAGATGAATTAGATTTTGTATTAACTATGATTAAATAATTTATGTTTTTAAATTTCAAAAAGAGTATAGACGCTTTAGATACTGCTGTAATTACATTCTAATTTGGTTAGAATTTATTTCCCCACACATTCAAAGTTTGCCAAAAAAGAAAAAAACACCAACATTTTATCTTGCTAAATTTATATTTAAATACTTTCATTCGATGTACTATAATTTCCACCAGGTTTTTAAATATTTGTAAAAATCTAAAAAATAATTTTGAAAGAAAAAMCGAATTAAACTGAGAAAATTGAAAATGTAAAGTAATGTATGCAAAAGAAAAGTCGGGCCGGCAGAACTGAGTAATAAATATGTAATAAGGACTATAACAACAACAATAAAATAAAAACGTATCCCGACGTAAAATAATAATAATATAAAAAATGTGTTTAATTTGTACTAACAAAGGAAGCGGTAAGTACGATAATTAGTAAAAACGATAAAAATCTTTATTTACTTTTTGAGAACTCGACTACCTTTCGGTATTGGCAGTTTGAAATCCGATCGAAGAAACGTTTAAAATAAAATCGATTCCTCTCGCTCGAGAAATTTTTGATAAAATACACCATTCTGTCAAAATAAATATAACGTAAAATATGGTATGTAACAGACGACAATCTTAAAAGAGGTATTCTTTTTTTTATATTTATAATGATTTTTAATGAACCAAATATGTATCATTTTGGTCGAACACTTTTTTCCCTTGGTTTCTCGGCGAAAAACTGTGACAAGTAAWTTTCACAGACTTCACAGAAAACTTTACTCCCTTAAGGGAGTTCTGCAATGCTCGAGTTCCGGTTTTTGCCGAGTCATCAAAGATAGGTGTGGTCTAGCGCTGTCCTGATGGAATACGAATCCTTTTCTGTTGATCAGTTCTGGCCGTTTTTTGCTTGCTTCAGTCTCATCAATAGGTGACAGTAAAATGTAAAATCAATCGTTCGATCAGGCTGGAACAGCTCATAGTGGATGAATCCTTTTCAATCCCTCAGCAAAACCTTTCGAGGCGTCAATTCTGACTTTGCGACCATTTGTTGAGCTTCACACGGTTGGACAATGATCTTTTTCGCACATTATTTTCGTATTTGATCCACTCTTCGTCTCCTGTTACCACTCGTTTCAGAAAAGGTTCGATTTCATTTCGTTTCAGCAAAGAGTCGCAGCCATTAAATTTTTCACAGACAATTCATGTGGTACCCAAGCATCGAGGTTATTTTGTAACCAGCCWTTTTTAAATGGTTCAAAACCGTTTGATGACGAACGTTAAGTTTCTTAGCGATGTCATGGCTGCTTATGTGAAAGTCCTGGTCAATTTTTTCCATAATTTCAACGATAGGTCGACCAGAGCGAGATAAAAGATTCACGCATCGAAATTTCCAGAACGGAAGCGAGCGAACCATTGTTGTCCTGCACGTACTGATACAGCATCGTCTCCGTAAATTTCACAAATTTAATTGGTGGCTTGCGTGGCATTTTTCTTTTTTACAAAAACTTTTATACAAAAATTTCAAGCGAATTTCTTTATTATTTTCAATAATTTTTGAACAGCTGTAACATTTTTCCAACTTCCCCGAATTTAATTTTCATATATTTATATTAATCATATATTTTTATTTAATCTTAGTTTTAAGATTCCATGCCACGAATTTTTTTAAAATCAATCCTTTACATCAGTTTATTATTCTTAACTTTTCTTAAGCTTGTGGATCTTAACGTGACATTAGATGAGGCTAATGTTTATTTTTTTTWTATTGTTCCCAAATCCAACAATAATTTATCTTTTCTTCACCACTATCAAAAAGACTTCGGAGATTTGCATACAATCTCAACAAATCTAGGTATTTAATTCTCCTGTGAAATAATTATCAATAGGATTGCTTGGGACKGCTTGTCAAATTTCATTACCCTGCAATTGTTTTCTATGACCGTTAGTAATTGTCTTACAGTGTATATTTCTCTGCAAAAGCTCCCAATTAAGGTTGCAACGAGTAGATAATTYGTTACTGTGCAGATGCGCTGGTAAAGTGATGCCACAATTTTTAAATGTTTATATAATGTCGATATTTAACAATTAATGCCGAAAATTTAATATTCATATAAATATTAAAATATTTGAATAGTTTGTTCAAAAGACGAAGACATTATGGAAAAAATTGTGCATTAGATGAAATTGCTGTTAACGGTTATATCCCATTGGAAAAGAGAGACGAATAAGTTTAAAGCATAAAGCAGCGGCGGACAGTGGAATTTGGAGTGCGTGCGCGCTTTAATACAGACTTTGTTGAACTCCTGGCAGCCATGACCATGGACAGTAAAAATGGTGGAAATATGAGTGCTCATACAGTAAGAAATGGCGCTCATGAGCAAAGTCTGGGTAATTTGAGCTTTTTGCTTTGTTGCAGAGTTGCGMCGTAACTGATTGGAAGTGCCGCACGTGCGCGGTGTAACTTGGAGAGTGGAAGATGCATGACCGCTCCCCCGAACGAGGTGAAGAGAGAAAGCGTATAAGCATTTCCAAAGCTGTGGAACAGTTGTGAATTCTTTTCCAGTGTTAGCTAAAGCATCAAGTGCAATAATGAGATTCCAATTTATGATTTAGTTTTGCGTAATTTAAGATGAGAAGCGCGTGAACATCAGGCTTAGAAGTGTTTCAAAATCAGTCAGACTCAAACGAGAAACGAAACAAACACGAATGAAAAATATAAATTAAAATGAAAGATAATGGCTGTTGGATAGGTCATCGATAAATCGGCAACAGCGTGTCCTCACTTTACGTGTTTATTATTATCTGTTGTGCTCRTACCATAAATGAATTCCACTTACTTCCAAAAAATTAACGAGCATGGCGATAAAGCCGAATGAAAACAAAACGCCTAGCAATTATGGACCTAATGTACATATGTACGGCGTATGCGAAATTAGAAATCTCGGGGCCTTAGATATGTATTAAAGATTACTGTTCCATTTCAAAATCAATGAATAGAAGTATGGAAAAATCGAAGTATATATTTAAATACCCCGATATTCTCCCTAGTTCTATATTTCCGATTTATTTAAACAATCAACCTTTAGATATTTGATAAAAGACAGGCAGGTAAAACGCATCAATCGACAGTAGATGCAAGAAGTGTAAATAACATTTTGGACTGAGTTCTGACATGAAATTGCAAATTTTTAAATACTGTATTTTTTATTGCGAAACTTTTTCATTGAATTTGAATATGGTTCAGCAAATACAACATTGAAGGTTAAACAATTTTGATCAGTATATTAGATAAGTATTCTAAATCCAAAACCAAAAGTACAGCATCAGTCTGCTTATTCTGGCTTAATTTTAGTGTGGTGGTTATTGGTAAAAATCTACGGGTAACGGTACAAAAACAGCTAAAAATAATAAATTTATACATTTTTTAGGTTAATTGTAATTGTTGAGTTTTCATTGCTTGCTACCTAAGTGCCCTATTTATTTTAGACTTCGAATATAAATGTRCTATTTTTGATGTGCACCTTAAGGCTTCACATTTCCTAGTTTTTAAATCCCCTACCTTCTTAATTTCGTGCATTTACATACATTTATTTTCATGCGAGTCTACAGTTTAAAGTCAAATGTTAGCATCTGATCGACTGATATTCTTATCCACTCACTGTGATAGCACTTAAGTGTAAATCCYTATGCATTATTTATGTGAATGAGTGAGAGTGTATGGCGGTTGTAAATTACGGTCGTTTACGCCTTGAGGTGTCGTCGAGTGCTTGCATGAGCACTTCAACTGTCGCCGTAACAAACTAATCATTCAATGGTCATTGTACCTATGCGGGAATGAGCAGTGGTGCTGTGGTAGTTAGTTGTCACAGCGAGAATTCAAAAGGGGGACGTTAGTGCAAATGACACTCTCCCCCATAAGAGAGGCACTATGGTATTGTTGTCAATTTGACAATGCATCAATGATTGTGAAAAGAAGRGAAGGCGGTTCAAGGATGACACGGTATGGGTCAGGTGATATTGTAAGTGCATTGAAAAWCAAAGAAATGGATATGGAAACTAATAAAACAAAAACAGAAAGGAATGAGACTGTGAAATTGGAGTTAATACGAGTACAAGTATAATGAAATATTAAATATTTCTTGTCAGCGACTGATTGGTACTCCTGGTTTGTTCATCTTTGTTTTCTTCTATAACACATATACGGAATTAATGCTAATTTTAAGACGGTAAAAGTCGTTTTCGATTTATAGCGAGTCAATTGGCCACTGCTTGCATTCTCATTGTATTCGAAATGCCCCCCTTGTGATGGATATGTCAATTGCGCTGCACAACATCACCTAAACTACGTAGACGCCTCCTCAATACATCGTTTACTGGAAGTTGCAGAGTATCCTTTGTTGTCCGACTGCAGTCACCACAAACCATTTGCCTGCAGTCACCACAATCATTCGTTGTGATGTTGTTTCAATTTGGCAAGTTCAAAGGTCACACAATGACGCTCACACTTACATAACTTGTCCAGTGCGTACGTGATAACATTTTCTTTGAACCCCATTCATTTTGCTATAACATACATATGTATATCGCACATGCGTATGTGTTCTAATATTTGCTGCAGATCCCAACTCGCTGTATCTGTAATCGCTGTAGGTCTTATACTTGCCGCAAATATTTKCTCTACTCTCCTTTAAGCTACGGATTCTTCCGGCACATTTGTCATCCCCCACCCTTTCCGTTGCCAGAC